ACCCCAGAGGGTCTCCTTCATCCACCTCGAGGGCTGGCCTCATGGGCGGAATGCCACGGCATTGGCACCGGGCCCCATGCTCCGGGACCCTGCGCTCAGGGAGACCTCACACTTGGTTTCAGGCTCTGCTGTCACCACCTTGGAATTCTCGACACCCTGCATTGTCCTTTTGCGCTGGACCTCACAGACTCTGGAGCCGGTTCTGATCCTCTCCACTTCTCCCAGTTCTTAAAATCAGGTCGGTGATCCCTACACATTCTTTGCTCATCTTTTTTTTTTTTTTTTTTTTGCGGTACGCGGGCCTCTCACTGTTGTGGCCTCTCCCGTTGGCGGAGCACAGGCTCCGGACGCACAGGCTTAGCAGCCATGGCTCACAGGCCCAGCCGCTCCGCGGCATGTGGGATCTTCCCAGACCGGGGCACGAACCCGTGTACCCTGAATCGGCAGGCGGGCTCTCAACCGCTGCGCCACCAGGGAAGCCCTTTGCTCATCTTTTACTAACACCTCTCATTTGTATAGCTCTGCCTTTTCCATGAGCCTGCACGCTGTTATCATACCTGTCATCACGAGTACCTAAATCACTGACTCATGCCAGAGTTGTTTGTGGGATTTGTCTCATGACCCCAGGCCCTTTGATGCCACCCCTTTGTTCTCAAGGAATAAAAATGCCTGCCTCCTGACGCTATCTGTGATACCCTCATACTTAAGTGTAGGAAATTTGCAAGTCCAAAGCTGATCCTCCACTTGGCTCTTAAGAGCCCTGGACAAGCCCTCTGGGAGCGCTTAATAAATACTGACTAATGAACCTGCAGCTGCTGCTCCTTTGGCTAATTAAATCTAAATAAGTCACAGGCTTTAAATTATGCAATAAGGCTCGGCCAAAACAGCTTAAAAATGCGGGAGCCCTAGTTTTTCTGCTGTGCCCTGTGGAAAAAATCCCATCTTTTAATCATGCTTAACCTTCCTGAAAGAACAGTGGCAACCTTTAAATAATGAATGAATGTATATTAGCGAGATTTTTTTTCCCCAAGCTACACACAACGGAGCTAGATCATAAAAGGGACAGAGGCAGAGATAGGCCTGGGGGGATTCCGGAAGTTTCTGGTGAATCGCAGAGTGCTGGGAGAAATCATTTGGTTGCTCAGAAGCCCAGAGCAAGGACTGGTGAAGAGCACAGAGGGAGGAGGGGCGGACGCACTGCCATCCAGCCTGCGCCTGCCAGCTGTGATGGAGGCCCCCACAGCACTGGTGGGGGCTACGTGCTCAGTTATCCTCTCTCCACTCCTTCCTATCTTGCCTCCACGCACCCTCCCACCCCCGAAGACCCTCCAGGCCAAGAGCAGTGTCTTCACAACAGAGCAAAGGTTGAATTGAGTCACATCACCTAGAGCAGTGCTTTGCAGACTTTCAGGTACACAAGAGTCTTTGGGGATGTTGTCAAAAATGCAAACGATCAGTGGGTCCAGGGTGGGGCCTGGGATGCTGCATTTCTAAGATGCCTGGGGCTGCTGGTCCTCAGATCACGTGCAGAGTAGCAAGGATTTAGGTTTTGTAAGGAAGCTGAACATTACAATCAGTTGGGACACTCTTCAGGTGCTCCCAGGACACCATCTCAGATAAGTTAGATAGGAATTTCTGAAATCAGACCCTAAGCTCTTTGGTCCCATTCTCCCCATTCCCCACCTTTTTTTTTTTTTTTTAAAAACTGAGTTAGAGTCTAGATAATTTTCAGGTCACCCAAATAAAGCCTAGAAAGCTTAACCAACTTGCTTGCAATCACCTCCTAAAGTGGGATTAGAAACCGATCTGGCAGGGAAGTGGCCTTGGAAACCAAGCCTGCTCCCCCTTCCCTCCCACAGATCTCAGCATCTCCAGGACTCTAGCCCCGTCCCTGGGCTCAGGGTTGCAACGTATGTGAGTCCATTTGGGGAGCAGGAAAGATTCTTCTATCTTTCTCCTCCTAAGCCTTCCTGGAATTCACTATTAGTGCTTAATTGCTTGGGCTGAAGCTGAGTGTAATGTGTAGGATCTGTTACACTCTGTCTTCAGCGTCATGGTGTGAGTGGGATGACAGGACAGACACTGGGGGCACTGGGCTCTGTCCTGTGGGATCTGGGACTCAGGAAGGGGAGGGACTCTCAGGGCAGACTCACCTCCTCCTGCAACTTTGCTGAGAGCACCCAGCACAGAGGGATGTGCTCTTCTAAGTCCCCAGGCAAGGCTGTGGCCCCGGTTGTGTAAGATACTGGGGCCTTAGGCAGAGGTCAGGAGGTTGCAGGCAGAGCTGTTCCAGTTGTGTATCCGGAGAAAACCATGACCTTCCTGCTGTGGTATGTGAGTCAGGCCTTAAGGCAGAAGTGCAGCTGTGGGTCAGGCCCAGCTTGGCTACAGCTGTGTCCTACCCAGTTGTCTCAACCTGGACCATGACACTGGGGCAGAGAGTGGGAGCTGGGCTTAAGGAAGCAGCAAGGTACGGTAGACACAGTTATTTGCTTATTCAGTATCCACCCTCCCCTTCCCCACCCCCACCATATTATCAGAATCTTAATTTTGTTCAAGGCTGCAACACTGTCCAGGCCAAAAATTTACCACACCTCGTATGTCCTTGAAGCTAGGAGCAGCAACATGACCAGGCTGACCAATGAGATGTAAGCAGAAGTCTCTAGGCGGATCTTTCTGGAAAGCTTTGAAAAAAGATGGCCCCATTTCTTTTCCCCCTCTGCTGACCTGGAGTTGATACCTGGAGCTATAGCAGCCATCTTGAGATTATAAGGCTAAAAGCCATGGGGTGAGGGGGATGAAAGCCATATGCTGAGGATGGTGGAACAAAAAGAAGGATCCTCTATGACTGAGTTCTCTATGACTTCCTTGAGAGGTTTCACCATCACGGGCTGCCCAACCTGGGACTTCTTAGTATGTGAGACACATAAACCCCTATTTGGTTAAGCCACTGTGGCTGGGTTTCTTTTACCGCTAAATGCAGTCTTCACACTGGGACCTTAGAAAGAATGTTCCTGGATTGGAAATGGGAAGAGAAGGTCAAGGCAAGAACGTGGCCCCCAGGAGAGGGGAGGGGGGAGGATTTCCCCTCTTTGTGGGGGGAGGGTCACTATCTCACTCTACAATCTTCAGGGATTCCTTGTTTCCCAAGGGACTAAGTTCATATTCCTCAGGTCAATATTCAAGACTATAAAATTTGGCTCCAAATCGGTTTTCCAGGCCTGTTACCATTCACTGGAGCAAGGATGTGCCTGCCCCTCCTTTGAGTATAGATTATACACTCCCACCCTGGTCTTAATTCACATGAGTTCTCCCTACTCCTTTCTACCTGTCCCAGGCTTACCTGCCCTTGTGGGCTGCTCTTTTGAGAAGACTTCCTATCACCCTGGGCTCCAGGGACCTCTCCTTTAATCTCCTTCATCACTGAGGTCTATGTGCCTGACAGTTTCTTTGTACTTTAGCGTGTATTAGCTGCATCTCCTCAGCAAGGCTGTGAGATCCTCCAAGGCAGGATTTTGGGAGTGTGGAAATACAGAAAGGTCACTTTGGAGTCAGACTTGAGATCTAAGATGATCTTGGGTACATCACTTAACCTCTCTGAGCCTCAGTATCCTTGTCTGTGAAATGGGGATAATGTACATGTCTGCCTCCCAGGCCTCCATAAAGCATGTAGCTAAGTGCCTGGCACATTGGAGGTGCTCCAGAAGGGCTTGTATGTTGACTTGTTGCCTGCTTGGTAATCCTAGGCTGTGCCTTTTTTCTATCCTTTGTATCTCTCTCCACTTTTGTCTCTCCCTTCCTTCTGATTTTCTGCGTTGCATTTGAACAGTGAGGTCTGTATCAAGTTTGAGGAGTGACCGTGAGCTGTTTTCATTTTTGCCTAGGGTAGATCTTTGGCTACTGGCTTCAGTCTTCTATCAGAGTAGGAAGTAAGGATAGAGGGGAGATTTCATGGCCATTGTGAAGGGGGTGAGAAGACATGCTAACTTAACTGAAAGGAGTTTACTAATCTTTCTCTGAAGATTTGTAAGGAAAATGGGTGTATTTAAGTCCAGTTTTACCTGGCAACAGGATGATGAATTGAATGGCCTTATAGCAGTTTTTTGTTTTTTTTTTTTTATAAACAAACTCCCAATTCTGTTTGTTGTAGTGAATTAAACATCTGGGCCTTAATCTTTTTGATATCCTGATCTCCTCCTTCTTTTGCCTCAATCCCACCCCAGAAACCCAGATCAAATTAGATTGTGGGAAGTGACCCATAGCAAAAAAATTCTGCCATTGAAAGTTTAATGAGAAATGACAGTTTTATTACTTCCAAGTAAATACCTGTCACGCGCAGCTATAAATGGGAATGAATGCATTGAACTGGGTGGAAAATGAGAAGTCACCGTGGACTGAAACGGCATGATAATGTGTACTGACAATGAGTCCCGCGGCGGTCTTCTCTTTTCATGTGTTTCACTCTGCATCACTCAGAGAGCCCAGCAAGACAGAGCGTATTCTTTTGTTCCTCTTAAAGCAGAGCCTTATGTCCAGGAAGAGGAAGGGTCAGAAAAGACTTGATTGATTGCAAAGCTGTGTCCATTCAGTTTGCTGCGTTATCCTTAAAGTCTCCCGTGCTGGCCATCATTCCTGGGCAGGGCTGGCGAGGTGGGGGCAGCTGACAACCTGCTGTGTGTGTGTGTGTGTGTGTGTGTGTGTGTGTGCGCGCGCGCGCGCGCACGTATATGTGTAGAGGATGGGGGAGGTGAACTCCTTTCTGTCGTTACACTGGGCCACTTCTGTGCCTCTTGTGAGTCCCCTAGTGCCCAAAGTCTGTTCCTTTTGGTTGTTGCTGCCTGTGGTTGTGTATATCTCTGTGGTAGACGACTATTTGCTATGTATCTCTGTGTGTGTGTATGTGTGTGTATGTGATTTGAGGGTTGGGCGTGTGGCCTCTTTAGGGTTTTTTTCTCCTATTTTTCCGCTGGAGGAGCATTGCTGACTGCGCCTAATCAATCAATGCCTCCTTACCAGCGCCCCTAGGACTATGCCCAGATTTTGCCCCCGCCTCACCCAGGCATGTGCTGCTCAGTGCTCAGGATACCTGATGGGCCTGTCCTGGGTTTCCTGGAGCTTCAGCGTCTCTCTTCTTGAATTGCATGTTGCTGAGGGCAGGCTCCAAGCATGCGTGGTGGACTGTGTACAGTCCTGCTCGGGCCCAGGGCCAGACGGACCCTTGCCAATGCCTTGGTGATGCCATCTTGACATGTCTGCAGAGCTGGAAAGAGCTTGGGGAACCTTGGCTCCTGTATTAGTTTCCTGTGTTAGTGTTGCTGCTGCAATAAATTATTACAAATGTAGTGGCTTAAAACAACTCGGATTTATTCTCTTACAGTTCTGGAGGTCACATGTTCAAAATGGGTTTGGCAGGGCTGCATTCCTCTGGTGGCTCTAGGAAAGAACCCGTTTTCTTGCCTTTTCTAACTTCTATAGGCTGCCCGCATTCCTTGGCTCGTGGTCCTGCAGCACTCTCCCCTCTGCTCCCATGGCCACATCTCCTTCTCTGCCTCTTACCCTCCTGCCTCCCTCTTATAAGGACCCTTATGATTACGTTGTGCTCCTCTGGGTAGTCCAGGATCATCTCTTCATTTCAAGGCCCTTAATTTAATCTCAAAGTCTCTTTTACCACATAAGATGACATGTTCACAGCGATGTGGACGTCTTTGGGGGGCCTACCCTCAAAAGCCTACCACAGCTCCCCACACCTCAGGGAAGATCTATCTGAGTAGAGGTGGTGGATCCCAAGTCAGCCTGGTCATGGTATGATTTCTGTGATTCTGGAAAGGCTTTCTAAACCCTTCTCCCTACAGATACTTCCCTGGCCTGCTACCTTCTGAAATTCTCCTCTTGGGGAATAAAGCATCTTCATCCACAGTGGGGACTCAGGCTTAGTAGAAGGCCTGAACAACATGTTTCTCCACACTAAGGTGTAAATGGTTGACAGCAAACATTTCCTAACAGCAAGTTCTGATGGGAGGGAGGCATAGGTGAGGGAAGGAGGTGCCCAGTGTTGGAGAGAGCAAAGGCACTTGGAAGTATGACCATAAAGTTTTAATCAAACAGAGCAACATGGCCACGATGCAGAACAGGTAGTGCTTGGAGAAGAGAAAGAAGACCATCTCCTTGGTGACATAGATTATGTGTATGAAGATGAAGCAGTACAGGAACATGGCGAATTGGTTCTGGGGAAGCAGGAGATCCTGGAGGCCTCCCGAGAACTGTGGGGGAAAGAAGAGAGTAGAAATGGCAAAACCAGGGCTTGGGTACCAGGCAGACCCGGGCTTCGATCCTGCTCTTGTCCCTTCCTGAACGTGACCTCGGGCAGGCTGTCTTCCTCACCTAAGGTGAGGGTAATCGTGCCCGCCTCACAAGATGATGATGAGGAAGAGTGAGGACGAGAATGAAAATCCCAGGCAAGGTCACGGGCACAGAGGGGACTCATGAGTTTTCACTTCTTGAGCCTGGTCTTAGCCCTCCTGAGTCAGGCCGCCCCCTTCCTTTCTTGGTACGCTCCATGCAGCCTCTGAGCCCACATGTGGGCAGTCTCTTTCCTCCTCGAGATCCCCACATCTGGACACCAGGTCTTGGGCGTGTTCTCTGGACAGTGTCCCCAGATACTCCACCTTGCTTTCTGGATGGTGGTGCAATGAGAGGGGGTCCCTTGGGCACAGATGACTGTGTCTGACTCTCTGGGCCCTAGTGCGTGTCACATAAGGTCAGGCTGTGGTCCTTCAGCCCAAGGGGTGGTCTCTCCTGCGGACAGGTAGTAAGAGACAGGTGATGGGGCCTCCGTAAACTCTTAGGGTTTGGGGTGTGGGGGAGGCAGCTTGAGCTGTCTGGCTGATTCTGCCTGTGTGTTGCTCTTTTCCAGAATCTACATAACTAAAGTCGAACAGACCCCCATTTTAACTATAGAAAGCATCAACATATAAGTAGAGTAAAAGCTGATATAGCTATTTTGATCTATAGTTAAGAAGGCATTACCCATGGTTCATTCTTTAAAATATCTTTTCAACTCATGCCACATTTTTTGTAAGCAGGCATATGGCAGGGACTGTGATGCCCTAAATTCACTAGAAACATATTCATAGAGATATTTTTCAATACAATGACAATTATCTACCCACCCACCCACCCACCCAGAAGAAGAGAGGTGGTAGGCTTAAAAATTAAGTCAGCTCTCCAAGTACAGGCACAGGAAGTAAAACCCTTTTGTAATCTATTGTTAAAAGACTGGGGTTTTGGACATACTATTGTTGAACCAGCTACGTAAAATGTGAGAGTAACTAAATAAAACTGAGGGGGCAGGAAATGACTCCAGTGATGCCACCTCTAAAATGAATAGTAAGGAAGATGGAAGACCAGAGGAAGAAACCCAGTGTTCTGGTGGGACTGGAGGGCTGGACAGATCTTGTGTTTTTCTGCAGACCTGGTGTGGCTCTGGTTCCGTGGACTTTCTGCCACTGTTTGTGGTCTACGTGCTAATGGCTATTATTTGTGATTTTGATAACAAATTGTGCATTTGTGAAACCTTTTAGACTTTTCAAAACACTTTCAGTCGTCTATTTTTTTTTAAAGCAGAAGACAGAGAGCAGATAGGACTGTACACCAAGGATTTCCATCTCCTCCAGCAAGGAGAAAGATTTTCAAACTAAAAAGCAGGTATTTTGTGAGCAAGAAAAACAAAAGAGAATTGTTAAGAAGCCAGCATGTGTTCATTGAGAACAAATCATGCAAAACCAACCTAATTTTCTTAAAAAAAAAATGGACCAGTCAATTGGGGAATTGCTATGGTGTAATATCTTAATTCTGGGAAACCATTTGACAGTGTGTCTCAGTACGGTTTTCTGGACAAGGTAGAGAAATGTGAGCTGGAGATGATGTAACTCAAGGGTGCTGATTAATGGAACATTGCTAACCTGTAGGGAGATCTTTTAGTGGTATTTACTTTAGGTCATATCCTCCTCAACAATTACAGCAATGACTTGGATAAAGCCAGGAGGCAAGTTTCTCAGAACTGAGGATGACTCAGAGCTGGGAAGCATAGCTAATACATTACATCCTGATAAAATTGAGAAATGATGAACGTAAGTTGTTGCCTTTGTGTCAAGAAGTGAATTGCGTGAGTACATAACAATGGTAATAGCCGACACTGAGCGCTTACCTCAATGTACCAGGCTCACTGCAAGGTGCCTCACGTGCATTCTTTCATTTAATCCTCACGACAACCCTGTGAGGTAGGTATTACCTTACAGATGAGCAGACCAAGGCCCAGAGAGGATCAGTAACTTGCCCAGTGTCACACAATTTATATGTGGTGGAGCCAGGATTTTAACCCAGGACTGACTGATTTTAAAGCCCAGACAGCATTGCTTTAAACAATAACATCTTTCATTATTTAGTGCTTATGAAGCCCCAGCCAGAGCGCTAAGCATTTCCCATCCCATTTAATCACAAGCAGGCTTTCTTATCCCCATTTAGATTAGGGGAGAGCGGTCCATTTCTTGCCAAAAGATGTCTAAGTTTTAGTTGACAGCAAGGCAGCGTGATCCAACAGAACACGTGCGGCCCTGATCAGGGGAGCAGGGGATGGTTCTATCAAAATCCACTAGCCAGACTGCAGTGGGAGTTCTGGGTCTAGTCCCAGACGTCCTATTTTAAGAGATGCAGAGAGGAGTAGAGAGTGGTGGAAATCCAGACATAGAGGAAGTGTTGAAGAGTTTTCCCTGAGGAGGAAAGCCATGGACAGGCAAGTGGAAAAGGTGGCTTCTGGGTCCCTCCTGGGGAGGGTTGATGCTTGAAGAGTTGGATCTCAGCTTAACATGGAAGCTCTAAAGCAGTGAGCCGGCGGGCGCAGGGCGGGGAACAGCCGAGAAGCAGGTAAGGTGGGCTCCCCGTGCAGGTCAGGGATGGGCTCCCCTCACCCCTAGTTTCCCCGCACCCTTCGCCTCCCAGCTGGGACCTGTCACCTACCAGGCGGGGTGTCGCCTGCTGCCGCAGCTGCTCCATCACCTCTTCGTGCTGCCGCTGCCGCTCGTTCTCCTCCTGCAGGTACCAGAGCCGCTCGAGCTCGAACTCCATGCGCATCTTCTCCAGCTCCATCTCATCGTTTCGCTGGGGCCCTGGGGTCCCCGGCGCCGCTGCGGCTGGGGCCAGGGGTGGCTCTGCGCGTTCAGGTCCATCGCCCTCCTGGCCCTTGGTGGTGGCGGGGCCGGCCTTGGAGGAGAGTGACTTAGGTGGCCCCGGGCAGCCTCTGTCCTCACAAGTTTCCATCTCCTCATGGTAGTCGTAGGACGAGTCTGGCTTGGGGGACTCTGCCTCCTGGGCCTGGGAAAGGGGAGGTGGGGGGTCTGGAGGGGTTAGCATGGGGCCGCCCACCCCCTACCCCACCACGCTCCTGCAGCCCCAGGCACAGTGCACTGGGGTGCTTGAAAGAGGTGTGAATTGTAAACATCTAGACTGAGTTCTTCCGAGAAACTTCGACGGAGTTATCAGGACCTGAGAGTTAAGGAGGAGAGGGCAAACAGACACAGAAGAATGGCGCCCTAAAGTTGCAAGTGGGGCCTTTGGGAGGGTTGAGTAGAAGTCTGTCTTCCTCGTGATCTTCAGATCACTACTGGAGGTAACTTTCCTACCTCCCACTCTACTTTGAGGCCAATTAGACATCCAGTCCTCTGGGGGCCACAGAGGGAGGAAGAAACCCAAGGTCTGCATTGAGCGAACCTCAGTATATGGGAACCAACGGTAGGGTTATGGGGAAGCCTGGTCCCATCTGCAGGAGGAGGAAAGGGCCCCACATGGAGAGCTAGATGGGGGAGACCAAAGCCAGCTTCAAGTGACCTGACAATCTTACGAAGGGCTACCTGGTCTCCAGTTACAGCTGAGTGCCAGCGTGGGGATAGGGTGCACGTCTCCTACTCCTCTTAGCAGTTCTCTGGAATCTAACAGCTCTCAGCTCCTATCTTGTGGTGTCCCCATTATGCTCTTCCCCCCTGTGCTGGGACAGGCTGGGGCAGTGAGAAGAGGCATCCTCCTTACCAAAGAAACCTTTGACTTCCCTTCGGACATGGGGTCATCAGGCACCATCTTGGGGAAGGTTGGGCAGCTTTCTCCTGCCCCCCGGCCTTCCATCATCTCTCCCTGTCCTCTGTTGCCATCCAGAAAACCACAATACTGCCGGTTGGGGCCAAAGGACATCTTTTGAGGCATTAACATTTGGCCTCACAAGATTCCACAGCCTGGCCACCATCACAATGCCCTGTCCTCATAATAACCCACATTCCACCAGTTGCTAAGGCCCCTTTGGCAGAGGGTGTGATACCTTTGAGGCGCCATTATTAAGAGCTGTAGGATGGGCCTTTGCCACCCCTAGGGACTGCTGTGAAAACTAGAATCCCAGCACTTGAAATCCAGAGTTCCATCATCTGAAATCTGTTCTCTTGAGTTCCTCTTTTAAATGCAGCCTGTATTGAGATGAGTCACGATTAGCTCCGCAAACCCTGTTATGGGCTGAATTATGTGCCCTCGCCCCGCACATTCATTTGTTGGAGTCCTAACCCCAAGGACCTTAGAACGTGACTTTATTTAGAGATAGGGTCTTTACAGAGGTGATTAAGTTAAAATAAGGTCATTAGGGTGGGTCCTAATCCAATATGACTGATGTCCTTAGAAGAGGAAATTTGGACACAGACATGCACAGAAGGAGATGATGTGAAGATGGGAGAAGATGGCCATCTAAAGACCAAGGAGACAGGGCTTGTATTAGTGTTCTCCAGAAAACCAATAGGAGCCCAGCCTTATAAATTCAAATAGAACTTATAAAGAACTGGCTCATGTGATTATGGGGGCCGAGAAGTGGCACGATCTGCTGTCTGCAAGTGGGAGACTCATGAAAGCTGGTGGCATGAATTCCAGTCTGAGTCTGAAGGCCTAATAACCAGGACTGCCGCTGGTATAAGTCCCAGTCCAAAGCCAGGAGAAGGCCAAGATCTCAGCTCAGACAGACAGAGAAAATCAATTCAGCCTTCCTCCAGCTTTTTGCTCCATTCAGGCCCTCAAAGGATGAGATGATGCCCATTCACACTGGATAGGGCAATCTGCTTTATTCAGTCCACCAATTCAAATGCTAATCTCTTCCAGAAGCATCCTCACAGACATACTCAGAAATAATGTCTAACCAGATATTTGGGCATCCCAGGGCCTAGTCAAGTTGACACAGAAAATTAATCATCATAGGCCTGGAACAGATCCTTCCCTCACAGCCTTCAGATGGAACCAACCCTGCCGACCCCTTGATCTTGGACATCTAGCCTCCAGAACTGTGAGAAAATAAACTTCTGTTGTTTAAGCCACCCAGTCTATGGTACTTTGCTATGACAGCCCTAGCAAACTAATACAACCTCAGTTATTCATTGAATGGATTGAATGGGACCAGTAAAGAGAATGGGGGCTGGGGAATATACGTTGTTGTCTTCAGTTTTGTGGAAATGACAAAAAACATTTTTGGTAGTTGGAGGCAAGGTTGCATATGGAAAGAGAAAAGGCTGCATTTGAATTCTAGCTTTGCTCCTCTCTCTAGCTGTGTGTCCAAGGGAAAGTTATTTTACCTTTCTGCTGCTCAGTGTACTCATTTGTAAATGCGGATAAAGATCTGGCCACTCCCCTGCACTGCAGCACTGGTGTGAAACTAAGATAGTCTCTTCGCATAGTATCTGCCTCTACGGGGGCTAAGTAAATGAAACCATCATCATCATTATTACAAGGGGCTTCATCACTGGAGAGAAGAAAGTGCTCAAGATCTACCTTCTTGCAAATCTTTTTTTTTTTTTCTTTCTGGCCACGCCACATGGCTTGCAGGATCTCAGTTCTTTTTTTTTTTTTTGCGGTACGCGGGCCTCTCACTGTCGTGGCCTCTCCCGTTGTGGAGCACAGGCTCCGGCCGCGCAGGCTCAGCGGCCACGGCTCACGGGCCCAGCCGTTTCGCAGCATGTGGAATCTTCCCAGACTGGGGCACGAACCCGCACCCCCTGCAACGGCAGGCAGACTCTCAACCACTGCGCCACCAGGGAAGCCCTGGATCTCAGTTCTTTGACTAGGGATTGAACCCAGGCCATGGCAGTGAAAGCCCAGAATCCTAACCACTAGACCACTAGGGAACTCCCTCTTGCAAATCTTTAACTGAACCATGGCTTTCCTCTCCCAGAATTATGATGGTGACCATGGGAACTATCTCACAGTTTCTGTGTAAGATGTTGATCCTGTCTCAAGCACTGGGAGTAGGATTGCCAGATAAATATATGTAAGGGTGCCCAGTTAAATTTAAATTTTAGACAAATAAGTTTTAGTATAAATAGGTCCTAGAAATTGCATGGGACACACTTATACTAAAAAATTCTTCATGTTTATCTGAAATTCAAATTTGACTGGGGATTCTGTATTTTTATTCGCTAAGTCTGGCGATCTTAATTAGGAGAGACCTGCCCAAGGAAACAATTATATATAACCAAATAATGAGCTGCTATTAAAAATCACCAAGTACTATAACGTATAATAAGTTGTAGGGGTAGTTGTATCAGCTGTATATCAAACAACCATAAAATCTCAGTGGCATGTAACAGTAAGCATTTATTTAGCTCAGACGTCTAATAGTTGACTGATCTAGGCTGGGCTCATCTAGGGGGCTTGGCCAAGGCAGCTTCATTTCATGTGTCCCTCTTCCTTTTCTTGGGGACAGTGGGCTAGCCTTGGCATGCTCTTTTCATGGCAATAGAAGAAGCACAGAGGTCTTGGAATTGGCATACCACCACTTCCATCTTATGCTATTGGCTTTGGCTTTGGCCAAACTCAAAGCCAAAGGATGTGGAAATGTTCTCCATCCTTTTAGTGGGAAGAACTGTGAAGACATAGGGTAAAAAGTACGGATATGGGGCAGTATGAAGAGTTGGGGCCCATAAAGCAATCTAGTATTGTAGTAACACCAACATTAGCTTACAGTTATTGGGCACTAACCACGTACCAGGTATTGGTAATTTTTCAAGGATTATTTTACGTAATTTTTCAGAGCAACCATATGAGTTTGGTACTGTGATTGTCTCTGTCTTCCTAGAAGTGGTAACTGAGTTTCAGAAAGGCTAAGTCGCCTGCCCATAGTGACACAGTTAGGATCGAGTGAAGCCAGGACTTAAGCGCCACGTCCCTGAATTAAATCCCTTCCTACTGGAAATACTGAAAGTGTTTTCTGTTTTCCTCACTGAACCCTGGCTGATACTGTGGGTATTCGAGAGGAAGAGGTGACCTAAATGCCCAGAGGATTTGCTGGGGAAATCTGAGTAAGGAGGGAGCAAGGAGCTGCTCGAGGACAGCCCCTCCAGGGAGTACGCAGGGATGTGTGTGAAGGCATGTGTGTGGTCAGGCCACTCGAGATGGCTGTTCTCTTGCTCTCTGTACATCCCCTGCTCAACCTGTCCCTGCTTCATCTGCACGCTACTCACTTGACTATCCGAACCTCTTAATCATAGAACTTAACCGGTAACTGCCTACATGTTTGCCCCCTGCCCCAGCTAGTGACTGTTCTAATCCTTAGTCCAGGACGGCTCCAACTGCCAGTTTATTAAAGGGAAATGTCTGCCCTTGTGATGGTTGTTAACCAAAGGGGCTGTGTGGGATGTGCCCCAGCGGCTGGTTTTCCCGGGAACTGATGAGCCAACCTGACATCAGTTCCCCCTATAAATGGTAGCCTCCCTGGCTTCAGGAGTGTAAGATCCCCTGTCCAATAAACCATTGACAGCTCTGTCGCTGTTCCCAGCCTCTTCCTTATGGCCTCCTTTGGCCGTAAGAAGGCTTGCAGGCCTGTGGCGTGCAGCCCAACAGCACGTGTATGAGCATTGTATCCGTCAGGGCCTAGTCAGGAGACAGAAACCACACAGTAATTCCAACAGGGGAGGTAGACTATAAAGAAGTATTAACTAGTGACAGGGGATTGGCTACTTAGGGGTAAAGAGAACTCTAAGTAATACAGGAGTGAATTTGGGAGAGGTGCTTCTTAGAGCCTGAAATTCAGATCTCACTGGAGAGAGTGTGGCTGGGGCCACTGAACCATGTAAAAGTTCACTGAGGTCAAGGTCAAGTGGGAAACTGTCCACTGGGTCGCCAACAAACCTCACCCAGAAGCTGCCTAGAAGTTGGTGTTAAGCTTTCCGGGAGGTCATTGGAGACCCTTAGCTGGGAAACTGGTTGGGACAAGCTGCCCCCAAGGTGCCCCTGAAACCCTCTGAAGATGAGTACCACTCAGTATGCCAGCCCAGCATGGTGAGAGTAAGAAAAAAGGGAAATGTACCAGAACCGGGAAGAGAAGCCCCTTCTGATGTCTCCCCAGCACCCTCTATTGACAGAGCTTAACATCATGGGCTGGCAAGAGAAGTAATTACAGGGCTTTGCTTCGGTGTCAGGAGCTGGGCAGTTAAGGACTTACAGCTGAGAGGCAGTAAACTGATAACTGGGACAGCATGCATGCACTAGGAATTCAGTTCCCTTTCAACACACCTGCCTCAATGCCCTGGGGGAAGGTCCTGCCTTTTGAGAAATTCACCCCAAATGATATATCACAAGCCCCTTCCAGGTTCATGACCCTGAACTAGGTACTGAGGGGAAGACCAAGGATCATCATAGGCACTCTTTGTGGAGTATAGAGTCTAGCTGGAGAGAGAGAATGCTTCTTGATGTTCTCTAGGTACACCCTAGCTCACCTGCCTTCCTGACTTTTTGCTGGTGGTTTTCTCAGCCTACAAAATGCTTTCTCCTTTATCTCTACCTATGAAAGTCCCTCCAGCCTTCAAGGCCCATTCCAGTGAAACTGTATGCTTTGTGTTTCTCTGGCCGCCTTGTGTTAAATGACCTGGTGTTTGTCTCATCCTCCCCTTAGAGCAGTGGCTGGATGAGGGCAGGGCACGCTGCCTCGCTCTCAGCAGGGACCAGTAAAGGGTCAGTGTAGCCGACGGCCCTGGTCAGGCTGTGACTCCCTTCCGGCTAGTGAGTGTGACATAGGCAGGCAGACCAGAGAGTCAAGGAGCTACCCCTTCTCCTCTGTGTCCTTACACCCTCCAAGTAGGATCAGAGGCCTCACTTCCTGACCACTTTTGTTGTTTGATCCCTCTACTCCAATGTGAGTGAATTAGCAGCAGATGAAGTCCCACAAAGTTGGGTATAAATTAAAGGCTTGTAAGTTTAACTCTATTTTAAATGCTTGGAAAGCAGGGTATTGAGTGTGAGAACCTTGCTATTTAAAGGAATTTTGTGCATCATTTCACAGAGCTGCTTTCCCCCAATCTATAATTTCTGTAAGTCCAAGGGCCGTTTATATACCGGGCTTATTAAAGCAAAGCCCCCCTGTGGTGAAGCCCGAATACAGGTGCCCTTATGCTCTACCCAGGTGGAAGCTCCTGATGGGAGGAATACTCCAACGGAGAGCTGGCGTAAGGCTAAAATTCTGGACGTCCATCATTCAGAACCGGAAGGGGGCATGGAGACCCTCTAGCCTGGGCCTCAGGGGCTCTCAGCAATAACTTCTGAATAACTTATCCAGGATTAGAGGAGGGGCCCAGCAGAGTGCAGCAGAAAATGTTCTGGCCCGAGGGTCGGGGTCCTGGGGTCCTGGGTTAAGCTCTGCCGTTGGCGAAGCCAAGACCCAGGCACGTCATTGGAACCCTCCAGGGATGAGCTTCTGCACGTAAAACCTGGGGCCGTGAAACTTGCCCTGCTTCATGCTGGCCTGTTATCCTTGCTCCCACCTTACAGCAGGTGGGCGTGGAGCCAGGTGGTACTTCTGCCCTGAGCTGGCCTTCTAGAATGTGCTGAATGAAGTATGGAAGGTCTCCCCTATGACAATGCTGAAGTCGCCCTCAAAAAAATCCTCCTTGAATGTTTCATCTGAAACTCTTTTCTCATTTCATGTAAGTGAACATAAAATCAACGTATTCCCGTAAAGAACTTTACTCTGCCTCCTTCCCTCTGCAGCTACAACAGGAGGGTGACCTTAACTCAGTGAAGCAATGTTGGCCGACAC